ATATGTGGAATATAAACCAACACATGGACAGAGAAAACTGTATTGTGGTTACCAGGGGCAGTGGGGGCAGGGGGTGTGCACAGAGGGTGAAGGGAGACATATATATGGTGATGGACAAACAAGAATGTACAACCCAAAATTTCACAATGTTATAAACTATTTAAAACATCAATAAAAAAAAAAAGAAAGGCATAAGAGCATTTCTTGAGGGGAAATCAAAGTTATCTAGATAATCTTGATGCTGTTAAGAAAAATTATCTAGAATTTAAAAATAAGGCTACAGGAAAACTGCTTATTTTCTCAATGTTGTAACAGAACATTGTCTTATTTGGGGATGTACTTTTGTTTTGATTTACTATTTGCTATTTATTAGGGTCAAGCCTTTGTGAAATGGATGTGTTTAACATGTAGACTTTATCACAAAATTTCTGTTCTGAAGAAAGATGACTCTGAAGCTTACGGCTTTATTGCCCAGCAGCACATTAAACAGTTTTGCGTGTAACTCAAAAAAAAAAAAGTGGTTTGTAAATTGCTAAAGCTTAAGAAACACTGCTGGGCCGGCCCTGTGGCTTGGTGGTTAAGTGCGCGCGCTGCAATGCTGGTGGCCTGGGTTCGGGTCCCGGGTGTGCATCGAGGCACCACTTCTCCGTCCATCCTGAGGCCGAGTCCCACATACAGCAACTAGAAGGATGTGCAGCTATGACATACAACTATCTACTGGGGCTTTGGGGGGAAAAAAATAAAATAAAATAAAAAAAAAAAAAGAAACACTGCTTTATTCAGTTTTCCACATAATTGTTTCTATAAGCTATTTTTAATAGATCTTTGAACTTCAAAAAAAATTTTTTTTAATTTCTGGGTTAAAAATTATGTCTGTGTCTTCTAGACCTTTACCAGAAGATGATAGTATTGAAGCAGATATATTAGCTGTAACTGGATCAGAGAACCAGCCTGGTAAGAACTTGACACTTTTAGTTTCAATGAAATGATAGACTTTGTGCTATTTTTGAACATGTTTCTTTGTCAAGCTAAAAAATATACTCAGTTTTTGTTTCATCATAGGGAGCCAAAGGATAAATTGAGTGTTTAGAGAAAGCATTTTTGGAATCCTTTGGAAATCTAACTTTCTAAAAACATACCCTTGGTTTTTGTAAATTTCTACAATAAAGGGATGAGAGGAGATCATTTTTAGTAGTAAGAGGTGGCTATAAGGTCTGCCTCTGTTATTTAAAAAGACATATCCTTGCTGGGATACATCATCTTGCTGTGATGTAGAAGCAATAGTGATCAAGATTCCAAGTGTAAACTAGTGCTCTGGGATTGTGTTTAATTAATGTGATTTTTCTCAAGAATGAAATGGTTAAAATTTTCTCTTTTTCAACTTGAGCATCAAAGCATTTCTTCTAATACATCTTTCACTTTGTTTACCCATTCCAGGCTCACTAGAAGTTAATGGAAATAAAGTAAGAAAGAAACTGATGGCCCCAGACATTAGCCTGACCCTGGATCCTAGTGATGGCTCTGTGTTATCAGATGATTTGGATGAAAGTGGGGAGATTGACTTAGATGACTTAGACACACCATCAGAGAACAGTAATGAATTTGAGTGGGAAGGTAAATGTTTCATTGTTTTTATCTGAGCTTTAATAAATGTTTGTCTTTATGTACATACATGTTTTTACAGTGGCATTCTCATATTAGGATAATTGGAAAAACTTAAAACTTGATCATGAAACCAACTTAAATCAATGCTTAAGGGATATTGTTGAAATATGATGTTATTCTTTCTAAAGTTCATATATTTGTTACTAAGGTATGAAATTCTGCTAACATTGAATATTCTCATGGTTTTCAAAACTATTAATAGTAGGTTACACAGGTGGCTTAATTTTTTTTCTTAATGGCCCAGTGCTATGAAGGTATGTTTTTTTCATGTTGCTCCCAAAATATTGGTTAATAATTATGGCATGTTCTTTTATTTAGCTGATCAGCTAAGAAAAAGAGCTTTGAAGAGACATAATTTAGGGAATGTGCTAAAAATAGTTAAGGGTTTGCAGAGAGGGAGTTCTGAAGGGAGTTCTTTGAGGGTGATTTTTTAAATAGATTTGCCTGATGGTGCTGCACTTTGTAAACAACCAACTTGAATTAATGTATACTCAGCCCCCAAATCTTATATTCCTTATCATTGGTTGTTTAGAATTCAGAGGAATTGGGATGTGTTCTGCTTTGCATGCCTTCTTTAATTAGATAATTGCTATCTGCAGTATCTTTATATAGTTGTTAATAATTTATGTATATTCCATCTTTAAAATGATGTTTACTTCAAAGCAGTGTTTAGCACTAGGTATCTTATCTGCAGTAAAGGGTAAGATCCTTGATATGCTGTATCTTTTGTTCCTTTTTTCTTTCCTGTTTTACTGGTTCAATAAGCAGTCCAGTAATAAGCAATATTTTATAAAGATAACTGAAATAGTTTTCTGCCTATGTGTTTTGTCTCTTCTTTCTTTAATGCTGCTGTAGTCATTTCCTGGAAGGATATTTTCCATTAACAGCTTTGTCTGGGAAACAAACAACTAACATGCAGTAGGTTACCCCTCCCCCCATCTTTTGGTAAGGACTATGATACTAAAATTTTGAAAATCATTACTTCATTAAAAATCAGCTAAAATGCAATCTTGAAGTATAAATTTTACCTAATCATTGGTGCTTATGCTTTGGCTAATGTCAATTTAAAATAGACTTTTGCATGTACACTTCAGAATATTATCAATACATTTCTGCTTTATAAAGCTGATCAAATCAGAAATAATCATTGACTAGTTAACCACTTTCTATCTGGTATTATAATGTTTGGGGAATAATTTATATGATGAACAATAACAAAAAACAGTTGGGTCCCAGATAGTTACTTTAAGTAACCAATAGTGGAAACTGTCATGGACAATGTTTTTTGGTTTTTTTTGTTTGTTTTTGTGTGAGGAAGATCAGCCCTGAGCTAACATCCATGCTGATCCTCGTCTTTTTGCTGAGGAGGACCGGCTCTGAGCTAACATCTATTGCCAATCCTCCTCCTTTTTTCCCCCAAAGCCCCAGTAGATAGTTGTATGTCATAGTTGCACATCTTTCCAGTTGCTGTATGTGCGACTCGGCCTCAGCATGGCCGGAGAAGCGGTGCGTCGGTGCACGCCCAGGATCCGAACTCCGGGCCGCCAGTAGCGGAGCGCACGCTCTTAACCGCTAAGCCACGGGGCCAGCCCGACAATGTTGTTTTAAATAGAATCTGGAAAGACATTGTAGGGCCAGTGTACTAAGATTTGATGGCTGTATAAATTATCTTTTCTGAACTTGTGGATGTACATTGCACTGTGATTAGGTGCTTTCTGAATTAGGCAATAGAAAAACTGTAAAGAACCATGATTTCCAAAAACATAAAATGGCCTCATATCAAGAGCAAGCCTTTTCCTATACTAGGGAAGAAATAATTAAAATCCCACAGAAGTGTAATGAAAAATTCTCTGAACAATATAATTAGATAGTAAAGTGGTTAACATGTAATTTGATTTTTATTGTATAAATAATAATTTGTGATTCAAAAATCTTTATTTTGACAGATGATCTTCCAAAACCCAAAACTACTGAAGTTATTAGGAAAGGCTCAATTACTGAATACACAGCAGCAGAGGAAAAAGAAGATGGACGACGCTGGCGTATGTTCAGAATTGGGGAACAGGACCACAGGGTTGATATGAAGGCAATTGAACCCTATAAAAAAGTTATCAGCCATGGAGGTAAGAGTTACAAAGATTGTTCAGATTTTTAAGTGCAATATCAGAAATCTAAATGCTTAAAGAAACTCTCCTTTGAGATATTACATAATTTTGAAAGCATAATAAAGATTTACCATGTCATTTTAGAAACATAACAGGTTTGAAGTAAAAGGGTAAAACCAACATTTAAAAATTGTTAATACATGCATACAGTAAGTTGAAAAGGTCGAAGATTGTGCAGTGGAAGCTGTCTCCCACCCCTATTCCTAGGCCCCCAAAACTGAGACTTTACTTTCTCCCCTTTTTATCTAATTATACTTTATATAGAGTGAAGTGCCCTAATCTTTCTCTTTTGTAATTGCAAATTTCTTTTTTTTTTTCAGCCTTATTGTGATATAATTGACATATAATATTGTATAAGTTTAAGGTGTAAAATATGTTGATCTGATACATTATATATTGCAAAGTGATTACCACCATAGCGTTAGCTACCATCTGTATCACGTCACTTAATTACCATTTCTTTTTTGTGGTGAGAACATTTAAGATCTACTCTCTTAGCAACTTTCAAGCACATAATACAATATTATTAACTATAGTCACCATGCTGTACGCTAGATCACCAGACCTTATTCATCTTATAACTGGAAGTTTGTACTTCTTTTTGTGAGGAAGAGTAGCCCTGAGCTAACATCTGTTGCCAATCCTCCTCTTTTCGCTGAGGAAGACTGGCCCTGGGCTAACATCCATGCCCGTCTTCCTCTACTTTATATGGGACACAGTCACAGCATGGCTTGATAAGCGGTGCGTAGGTCCATGCCCAGGATCCAAACCTGGGAACCCTCCGCTGCTGAAGCATAGCTCGCGAACTTAACTGCTACGCCACTGGGCCAGCCCCATGGAACTTTGTACTTTTTGACTAGCATCTCTTCTTTCCTCTATCTCGCAGCCCCCGGTAACCACCAGTCTAGTCTCTGTTTCTGTGAGTTCCGCTTTTTTAAATTCCACATATAAGTGATATCACACAGTATTTGTCTTTCTTCTGTCTGACTTATTTCACTTAGAAATGCTCTAATCTTATGAGTTTGACAAATGCCCATATAACCATATATACCCCTGTAACCTACATCCCTAGACATATGGAACATTTTCATTGCCCCAGAACATTCTCTAATAACTCTCTCTCAATGAATACCCCCTCTTCAGTAACTACTATTCTAATGTCTACACTGATGACTAGTTTTGCCTATTCTAGAATTTCTTGTAACTGGAATCATATAGTATACACTCTTTTGTTTACTTCTTTGGTTCAGCATGTTTTTGAGATTCATCCATATTGTTGCATGTATCTGTAGTTTATTCCTTTTTATTGCTGAGTGGTATTCCATTGTATGGATAACCCACAATTTGCTTATCCATTTTTCTTTTGATGGACATGTGTGTTTCCAGTTTGGACTTTTATGATTAAAACTGCCATGAACATTCTTGTACAAGTCTTTTGTGGATATAAGTAAAACTTGGCTTTTTAAACTATGACTCTTAATTTACCTTAAAACCCTGAAAAAATCAAATAGCTTTACCACCAAGTAGAGAACTAGTTCATTCCATGTTTCTATGGAGCACCTACTTTGCCTATTTGTGGGGTATACAAAAATATAAGACTTTGTCCCTTCCCTTAAGAAATTTACAAGTCAAATAGGGAAAGCTATGAAGTACAATTATAACTTATATCAGTCTGACTGTGCTATATAGAAGTTTACCTAGGCATTGTGTAAATAGTGCCAGAATGTTAGAGGTAGTCAAAATGCAACTCACTCTGTAGAGCATGTCCTATTACCTGAAATCCTCCTAATGCTGGACAGGGGGCCACATAGGTCAAGCAGATAGAGTCATTTCCACTTAATTTACTCTCTCCCCAAATGCATTCCCCTGCTTATTTCTATAGTCTTCATTCATCTGAAAGCAAATCACTTGAATATTTGCAGTTACATTATTCTGCCTAATTTAATCTTATTCAGATGGAGAAAACAGAATAATCTGGATCAGAAAGTCCATAGACATGCATTAATTCAGCTAGTTCATAGGAAGCAAGTTGTGAGACCTGCCTCATGGTTTAAACCTCATATCTTTCAGAAATAGATCTTTATTTTTCTTAGGGGAAAATAATTAGGGCCATTTTATCCTATTGAATTACCACAGTGTGTTTTGTGACTAGGGGATTAAGAAAGGTAGTGAAGGGCCAGCCCCGTGGCTTGGCGGTTGGGTGTGCGCGCTCCGCTGCTGGCGGGCTGGGTTTGCATCCCGGGCGTGCACCGCTTCTCTGGTCATGCTGGGGCCGCGTCCCACATACAGCAGCTAGAAGGATGTGCAGCTATGACATACAACTATCTACTGGGGCTTTGGGGGAAAAATAAATAAAATTAAATTAAAAAAAAAAAAAAGGTAGTGAAGATTCTAATGTACTTGACATGTTCAAACCTTTTCAGTGCGTGTTTGTACACAAGAGAAGTGAAAGTTAAAGCAAAAATACTTATTACTGGATACAGCTTAATATCCAGAGATTCTAATTGAAACATCCACATTTTAGTACTGTTTTTCTTCACTTAGAATTATGTCAGAGATGTAGTCTTTTCTCAGTTTTTAATACCCTAAAATCTACAAAATGGTAGGCATCATTGAATGTAAAACTATTTTTTAAAAAGTACCCATTTTAACCATAAGTTACATAAGAATGTTTCATTGCAGGTGTTGTATTGTGTCTGCTTGGGTTATATCACTACATTTGTCTACTTGCTAAAATGAGGTTGGCTTTCTCATTATGCTAGTTTAAGTGGGTTTCTGGTTTTTATGCCCACCCTTTCCTCTTCAAATTTTGTTGTTCTTTTTTTGAGAAGAGGGATTTAAAGATATCTATGCAACTGTATAAGGTAACAAAAACAAAAAAAACATACTTTTGGATCCAGAAATTTGTGGAAGGTAAACCGCTATAATCTGTCAACCATACAAATGTCCTCTGAAAAATCTTCAGAGTGAAATCATTCTGGTGATTTTATCTTTGGTTTCTTTTTCAGGATATTATGGGGATGGATTAAATGCCATCGTTGTGTTTGCTGTCTGTTTTATGCCTGAAAGTGGTCAACCTAACTATAGATACCTGATGGACAATCTCTTTAAGTAAGCATATCTTCACAAAAATGTTTGGACAGAATTCTGAGTTAATTAGATCCCAATTTAAGGAAGTGAACTTCAGCTGGGTAAAAATTATAACTATCCCAGTTCTGGTTCTTTAAGTGAAACTATCTGTTTTCCAACTCGACAGAAAAATTGTCTTTTTAAAACTGGAAGGGATATTTCAGATTATCTGTTCCAACTTCTTTATTTTATATTTGAGGACACATTAAGTGTAAAGAAGTGACTTTTATCTCAAAATCACATGGCTAAGTTATATTTACCCCCAGGAAGCCATGGAACTGAGCTTTTACTCAGTTCTCTTGTATTTCCCCAGAGTCATTTTATTTCTCAACTTAGTGCAGTTTTTTAAAACTTTATTGTGGGAAATTTCAAACATATACAGAGGTAGAGAGAAGTATATTGAATGTTTCTGTACCAATCACCCACTTCCCCAATTATCAATTTATACTTCATTTTCACAATTTATACTCCCCCCACTTTATAATTTTGAAGCAAATCCCAGACATCATGTCATTTCATTTATAAACATTTCAATATGTATTTCTAAAAGATGAGAACTCTTTTTTTCTTTAAATAATCATAATACCAACTAATGCAGTTTTAAATTTTTAATTGTTTCTGCTCTCATTGAAGGGAAGGGAAGGAAATTGTATAATTTGGATAACCTAGTTTGGTTATGCAAAGCAATATTTAAGGCTTAAACTTAATTTGTTTTTACAGGTATGTTATTGGCACTTTGGAGCTGTTAGTAGCAGAAAACTACATGATAGTTTATTTAAATGGTGCAACAACTCGAAGAAAAATGCCCAGTCTGGGATGGCTCAGGAAATGCTATCAGCAAATTGATAGAAGGTATTGTAAATGCAAATTGAAAGCTAGTCTGAATGATTTTTATAATGGCCTGTTTAGATAAAATTTTATTTTCTGTTGCCATTTAAAGGCATCATGTACCTGCTTTCTAAATTACATTTATTAATTTCATAGCAAGTTTCTATTTTCTCAAGACAGTTTTTTAGAATATCATTGAGGAAATCAGTTTTGATGTGTTTGATAAAGAATAACTTTAATTCCTTAAAACAAACTTATAAAATAATTCTCTCTTTCTCCTCTTTTATACCACATTGAAATTTTCCTATAATTTACATTTTGGGAAAGGTTAGAGAACTTAGTACATTTGCTATTTTATTACATTCTGAATTTTGCCTACTTTATAGTGGTTAGCATATTTTATGTCCTTAAGATGCTTGTTTAGCTGTAATCTTTCTTTGGAATGAGCTCTGGAAGTGTATTCTGGGAGTCAGTCATCCATGTCAGTTGAAGGAACTTTGATCCTCTGATTGGTTTGATTTGACCATAGCTAATTTGAACTAGTTTAATCAACTCAGACCCATTAATGGGTTTCTCTTCATACCTAAACATGACGTTGGCTAGTTCTTGTGATTTAAAAAAATCCTAATGATCATTTTATTACAATGTGAAATATGCATGGTAAAACAGCAGTTTTTATTTGGTCATTTTAAGTTGTCTGGGATAATGCCTTTAGTCTCTTTTTTTGTGTGTGTGAGGAAGATCAGCCCTGAGCTAACATCCATGCTAATCCTCCTCTTTTTGCTGAGGAAGACCGGCTCTGAACTAACATCTATTGCCAGTCCTCCTCCTTTTTGTCCCCAAAGCCCCAGTAGTTAGTGGTATGTCATAGTTGCACATCCTTCTAGTTGCTGTATGTGGGACGTGGCCTCAGCATGGCCAGAGAAGCGGTGCGTCGGTGCGCGCCCAGAATCCGAACTCAGGCCTCCAGTAGCGGAGCGCACGCACTTAACCACTAAGCCACGGGGCCGGCCCCTGGGATAATGCCTTTAATTTTTAATCTAAGTTTTAGACTTCATTAGAATACGTTAGATCTGATTCACAGTGCCTGTTCCTGTGGTGATCTCCACTCCCACCTTTTTGTCTGCACATTGCCTTTCATGGTGTTGAAGAAGTTCATACCAGTTTCCCCCCAGTCCTGAAAAATGAAAGCAGTTTACTTCTATATTCGTTATTGGCCTCTCCCTCTGGTTAACACAATCCTGAAGACGAGTGAATGTATGCTGGGAGACATTTCATAACAGGCTGTACTGTGGACATAAATTTAGCCAAATGGAGTAAAGTTCATTTCATAGCAGTGGGAGGGACCATCAGAATTCAAGAGCGCATTTTCTTGTGCTTAGTTGTGCATCACCTCTAAATGAGAACTCTTGGATGAGGGCTTTTCAATTTTTTGTATCAACTTGCACATACTTATTGATGTCTTAACTTTTCTTCTGGCATTAGAGTTTGTAGAGCTTTTTAAATTTTCTTTTTTTTTTTTTAACTCCAGGTTACGGAAGAATCTAAAATCTCTAATCATTGTACATCCCTCTTGGTTTATCAGAACACTTCTGGCTGTTACAAGACCATTTATTAGGTAATTTTCTGAGAGCCATTGACTTTTAAAAAAAAAAACAGCAAACTCCTTGTATGAATTTCTTGTCAGTTCTGTGGGTCAGAAATATTGAGGTAATTATTTTTATTTTCTTCCATAGCTCAAAATTCAGCCAAAAAATTAGATACGTCTTTAATTTGGCAGAACTAGCGGAACTTGTCCCCATGGAATATGTTGGCATACCAGAATGCATAAAACAGTATGTTTTGTTTTATTTCTTTAATTGTATTGGATCTTTATATTTTGACGTGCAAAAGGTAAATATTTTTCCGTACTCATTCTTTCTCACTTCATGTATTATAAATATTTTGTAACTGCTCTTGTTTTTGTAACAAAGAAAAACGGGAAGAAGCCATTTTTCAACACCTTCCCCATAAGTCACCATTTTCTTCAGGCTATCAGTTGAAGAAGTAGGAGGAATTTTTTCTGGTTGTGATTCATTTATATTTTTAAAGACTGGTTACAGTTTAAGAGGTGATTTCCTGATTGGTCGGTACTAAAAAACATTCTTCAAACTTGAACATACAGCTCTCCAAATTTAAATAAATTCATCATGGCATTGAATAATCATATTACTAGAGAAATAAAATATTATTTATATCAGCCTAACCTCTGTACTTGCCAGTGGCTGGAATTTATTCTGTTTACCAAATTCCCTTACTCCTATCTCACCTTTGAAAGGACTTGGTAGAAGGCTGTTAACATAAATGCTTGAGTATCACAGTGCTGTAATATAGAAAAAAGTTTCTTTATTCTGTTAATCTGAGGTTTTAGTCTGTTTAATTGTGTCAAAGTCAGATTTCTTAAGTGAGTTTTGACTTTCTACATAGTGTATTAAATATTTTTGGTTTTGCTTGCAAACTTATATGAGTCTATTTTTAGTGCCTTTTTTTTGTTTTTGTTCATCTTAATAACATGTATATTTACTGAAATAACTCTTCCCTACCAAGGTATGAAGAAGAAAAGTTAAAAAAGAAACAAAAAAGGTATATGCACACCTTGACTGGGTTGCATCTAGACTAGTCCATTTGCATCGCACAGACTAACTTTTCCTTATTGGTTGGTTAGCTTGTAGACAAAGATAATAGCATTTGTAAATATAAACATACCCCAGAATCCAAATACAGAGTGAATCCAAAGTTCTTGGTGCTGAATATGGCTTGGATTCAGCTTGTTTTAACACCATATGTGATACCAATTAGGAATTAAGACCACAGCCCCTCCCCTCTCCTTTTTGGTATGAATACTGATAGTAAAACCAGAGAAATTACTAAAAACACTGTTTGAAAAACCAATTACTTTTAAGACCCCTCTGTTTCACCGTATTCTTTAAATCTCTAACTTGTGCTTTTGAAATATTTGTGTACTTTTTTAAGGAATCAATTTATTTCCTTGGGATTAATGATTATATTTACAATGCACATATTCTTTGGCTAACCAACATTGGTTTCCTTGTACGCTTAAATGGCCTGCTAACCAGTCAAATTTTACATGTTGATAAAATACCTAAAAGTTCAATGTACCATTTAATAGTTAAACACTCTGCTTTCCATCTTAAATTTAATTTTGAATACTTCTGCTTTGAGCATAACAAATATTATCTATTAATATCTTGGCGTAGAAGATGAAAGGCAAAGATATAAAATAGTTACCATTTTATATAGTAATTGAGAAAAGTGTAGGATTTGGATTTAACTTGTTAATGGATTTTTAAAATATTGACAATTAAGTTAGCAAAATAGTTTTAATCTTTCTTTCTTAAGAGTTAAGGTGAGAGATTTATATTTAGGTGAGAGATTTATATTTAGTTATCTTTTTGACCATTCTAAGGAACCAATTTTAAGGAACTGGAACTGAAGCATTCTTAACGTTGAACACATTTTAGCTCTGTTGATGAGCAAGAATTCAGTTGATGTAAAGAATCATTGCTTTACATTTCTATATGACACTTTGCAGTTTAACAAACTAATTTTAACATAGAGACGTGGACAGTGATTTTAGATCTTGCTAATTTTTCGTTCCTTTCTAGGCATTGGTGTGTGTTTTCCAGACAACTGGCTGAAATTAAAAATATAATCTGTAATTGTAGAATATTTTCAAGCCAGCTACTTCATGGATTTCAAAATGAATTGCTTTTGTTGATGTAATTTGCTATATTGTGCCTTTTTACAAAGTTGTTAGTATTTAATTACCTGTTAGGTAATTTAGGCATCAGAAAAAAAGTGTACCTATACTTTTTATTTAAAAGTATTGTTTGAAACCTACCACTACTATTTTATCTTGATTTTTTTTTTTTTTTTTTTTACTTTTGTTTAACTTTAGATAGAATCATTTCATATATCTTTAAGGCACTTCTTAGTTTTTATACAAAGTTTCTTTAGCCTTAAAAAAACAGTAAGTCCTTGTCAGCTGGAAAATAATATTCAAGTTGTAGAAATAGAGGGGCATGTTTTTAAAACCGGAAGTTAATAGAGGCTATGTGTCGGGGAGCTTGCTTGAGGTGAAATCTCTATGATGAGTACTGGTGATACGGAGGATACAAAACTGAGTGTTATTTTGATAAACAACATTTAAAAATATTTTTTATATTGTTATCTTGGCTTTATCACAGGCCAGGGCTTTTAGGTCTGATTCACTAATGTTCGGGTGATTATAGTAATGGAAACATATGTGAAAAGTATCTTCATATATCATACCAAAGTGTTTTAAATTCCCCTCCATCGGTAATTCAAACTACTACAAATATAATAGTAATAGATTGTTGTACATTATCTTTGAAAAGTTGTCTATAATTGTTGTGTGGTGATTACATAGTTCTTCTAATCCCCCCCTTGCCTAAATTTTGATGTGATCTCTGTGCAGTCCACTACTAATCCAGTCAGATTTTTAAACTACATCTAGATATTTCTGATTATTAAATTCTGTGGCTTCTTACTATCAAAATAAGTGAAAGGCAGTCCTATTTTAAGTGTACCAGTAAATTTTGGAGAATAATTATGGTTTCTATAAATATGCATTTTTATCACTGAGTTTAAAAATATTAATTGATCAATTGGTTTCATTAGTTGCATTTTAATATTGCAGGTAACAAAATCATTTTTAGGGAGTTGTTTTTCGCGCCCCTCTCTTATCGCTTAGATCCTTGCCCCAGCCAATTCAACATTTTAATATGCCTGTTGTCATTTGAACTTTTAATAAACTTTATGTGCATTTGTATGTAAAGTATTTTATAATCTTTAAAGAAACAACAGTCACATTTCTTGCAAGCAAGTGCCCTCTTGCCTTTAAAAGTTATCTTTCCTGGTTAGGGAAATGTTTGGTAACCTTTTTACTACGTCTGCTTCTTTGCAAAGCTTTGTTTTTAACAGAATAATATTCTACGCTAAAGATAGTCATTATTTTTAGAAAGAAAATTATATAGTTGCTGGTGTCTTATTATCTGTATTGTTTTTCATTAAACAGAGTTGATCAAGAACTTAATGGAAAACAAGATGAACCGAAAAGTGAACAGTAAGTTTGGCAATCTAGTCCAAACAAGACTGAAGAATGTGCTGATGAAGCAATGCTCTGTTTTGCATTTATAATGCATTTATTGGCCCTGTTTTTTATGTAACCTGTTACAAAATTGACTTGACTTTTTCTTAATGGACTTTTGTATAAGGGACTGTTCACTGCTGTATTGGTTTGCAAATCTCTTGAATTTAGTTCTTTACTAGCTAATTATATTGCAATCATTTTATATTTTAGATTGCTAAATAGCAAAGAACCATACTTTATGTAAAGCAATTTTTGCATTTGTTTATTGAATGATGCATCTTCTTCAGTAAAATATTTATATGCCTAACTGGTAAAGGAAAGAGATAATATATATTTTTATGTTTTTGAGCAATATTTTTTAATGTATACTTGTCTTGTGGAAGAGTATGCAGGTAAATAAGACCATGATTTTGTAAAGTGCATGTTAGAATTTTTGTTTTTGTAAATGGTTAAATACATTTCCTGGGTAGCTTAGAAAATAAAGTTGCTCATAAGATGAGGGACAGTTAAACTGGTTCTCGTGAATACCCAAAGGTCATGTACATAATCTAAGTAAATTAGTACCATCTTAAGTTTTTTTCTCAATGTGTGTTGTTTCTTAACTCAGAAGCGCAAAAACAAGTGTATTGCACACTTTTTCCTTTTTAAACTTAAAGACAAGTCAAAAAGCCATTTTTAGAACTACAGAACTTAAGAGGCTAAGAATTGGGGTTTGTATATATGTATATATGGGACATTTTATCTTCTGGACAAAAGTCAGAACTTGATAAAAATCTTAGGTTTGTTCACTAATGTGAAATAAGCTGTGTGTCCAGGGTATCACTCTCCTGAATTTGTGTGAGTGCAGTGTAGTATTCAGAGATTGTGAGGAGATATTCACTGTCACTACTTTTCTGTAGAAAACAGGGGCTGCTTTTTTAACTGCTCTCAATGTGGGCACTTTACCAAAATGCTTTCATTTCAGTTATTTGAACTTGTTAGGTGTTTGACCTAGTCAGATATGGTGTGTTTTCACATTTTCTGTTGAATCATGTTGACAGTACTGTAAATTGTTTTGTAAGTCTTAGAGCATCATTATATTACATTGTTTTGAATAATGCATTTGATATAAGCATATAAACTCCTTGTTCAGTTTGGTAAATACCTTGACTCTACATTCAAATAAATTGTACTTATGCCCCCAAACAGAACTTAATTACCCACAAAATCATCCTAAAACAACAGATTGGTCTAATATTGTGTCATATATTTGTGTGACTCATACATTTGGTAAACTTAGTACCCTCCTAATAGGATGGTCACACCATGCTCCAGCTCTTCCTATAAGGTAATTTAAAAAAGAGTGTCCTGGAGTAGCAAAAGTGAAGTGGATGAGAGCTAAGCTTTTAGGATTTATTCTATCCTAGACTGAACCCACATATGGCTTTTACTGTTGCCATTTTTAGTATAGAGTTTCTATTACAAAAGAGAATTTTCCTTTACTTTTTGTCCTCCTCAGTCATAAACTTGGCATGCTAACCTAAGTCCAGTTGTGGGAGATGCTGGAGGATTCCCACCATGAGACATTCCTCTGCAACTTCCTGACTTAACTTGGATCCAGGAGCTGTAGACAGATCCTGAACTAATGTCATTGTGGTGAATAAAGCCAAAACCATTATTGCTTGCTCAGGTCTTAGAAATACTTTGTTTTGAAAAAGCAAACTAACAATAACAACTTAGGCATTCCTTGTGAATTTACCATATGAGGATTATGAATAAAGGATCATATTGAATTTAGTTGAGATCAGAGTCTGTATTTGTAGAGTTCTGTAAGTAGTCTTGCATCACTCAAAGTGTGCTGAACTTTTTATTTTATTTTATTTTTTATTATTTTTTTTGTGTGTGAGGAAGATCAGCCCTGAGCTAACATCTGTGCTAATCCTCCTCTTTCTGCTGAGGAAGACCGGCTCTGAGCTAACATCTATTGCCAATCCTCCTCCTTTTTTTCCCCCAAAGTCCCAGTAGATACTTGTATGTCGTAGTTGCACATCCTGCTAGTTGCTGCATGTGGGACGCGGCCTCAGCATGGCCGGAGAAGCGGTGCGTCGGTGCGCGCCCAGGATCCAAACCCCGGGCCAGGAGCAGTGGAGTGCGCGCACCCAACCGCTAAGCCACACAGCCGGCCCCATGTGCTGAGCTTTTTAAATAGGTGGTTTTCCTCCACATTAATTATCCAGTTTTTCGGTTTCAACGCTTTCTTGTGTTTATTCACTTTTGCTTTTGAAAGCATTGTTCCTAACTATAGATGCAACTTGTTGCAAAAGTGATGCGTTTTCCTAAATACTTTTAAGTAGAAGTAGCCTATATTCTATTAGAACATTAACATTCAGAAGGAATGGTGATAACACTTGGGATATAAAGAAAGGGATGTGCTGTGAATCCCTAGATTAAAAGGATACCTGTTCTAACCTACATCTTAATGGGATCTGGTATAGGGATGTGCCCCATAATAAATGTTTCATAACTATAATACTTAAGATCATAACTAGAGGTTTGAGGAAAAGCATTTATTAAATTTTTTATTTGTAGTTATGTGACATTTTCCCTGTATCAGTCAATTTGAATTTTCCATTACTTTTTGAGGTGAAAGTACATATAATTGTATTATTTTATCTTTCTGCCGGGGTCATGGATCTGACTTAACTGGTTTAATTTGATGCTTCTGTCACTATTATTTGTTATACTTGGGCTCTGAGTGCCTCGTTTTAGTCAAAAGTTTCTTGTATAAAGTAATTTGATTGTGTTCTGCTTGATCATATTCCTAAGTAGCACCAAGGAAAGTCGCTATATTGACCCCACAGTTTAAGCTTAATAGTCTTTAACTTGGGGAGTGGGGTATAAAGAAATATGATTCTTAGTAGGGCCTAGCAGGGTAGTTGGAAAGGAAGATGACAAAACAAGGAAGAGAAAGAAAACTATGAGGGGGTAAAGAGTGAGCTGTTATCTAAGAGGATACTGAATGTGTCCCTGTTAAGGGAAGTACTGTGTGTGACAGCTGCTGGTCCCATTTTTTGTATCCAGCAGGAAAACCTGCAGGCTACACACAGAATAAGTGAATAAGGAGACTCTGGAGTGAAGGGGGAAAAGGCTGATGATGCCTATAATGAGAACTTATATTTTCCTCTGCTTTCTTTGTCTCTTCATACAGAAACAAGTTTCAACAGAGAGGGTCAGCAATTAACAGTGCTCAGATTACAGTTTAGGACCAGGTTATTTTTCATATTTCATGGTTGGTAAATATTAATGCAGTCTTCCAAAATGGACATCACTATTTAGTAACTGCACTGAATTCTGAAATTTGCTGGTTGACAAGTATATATTAGTAGCTAGAATTTCTTCAACTACTATTTCAGAATTTTAAAAGGTAAGGGATCTGCTTTTGAATAGAGACTTCTTGTAAATGACTATATAGCATTACTGTTTGGCTGGTTTTATGTGAGTGCTCAGGGAGTTTGGAAGTGTTTGATTTAATGCAGAAGTGGCTTTTTAGATTTCTTCAATTGACAGATAAATTAGCAATTAGGATATATTGGGTAGAAGAGGCCAGTTTCCTGATGAGATTAATAAGGTTGTATATAAGGTGACAGCTTCATCCTTCTTTTTCCCATGTTACATGTGTAAAATTGCTCACATTGCTTAATCAGAAGGGAGGAGGAGATAGGCTAAAAATAATCAATCACTACCCCATTCTATTTTGTTTTCATGCCTATTTTTTCCCCATCCTGTATTGATATTTAAGAAATGGATTCCAAATCTCAGAAGAATGGGACAGAGGAATTAATGTACTTATAAGTTAGACTGACAATTCTGTTAATCTTGTCATAGGGAACAGGAACTGTATAACTTGAGTTGCTGGGAGAAGGTCAAGAATTTAGACTTGTATGGGAGGGTGAGCTGGAAAGGAAGGTGGGAGATTAGCTACTCAGTGTTCTAATAGCACAGAAAAATTACCTAGGGAGGCTTTCATACCCCATCTTCCTGTCCCAAGATTCTGGAAGAATTAGAATCAGATCAATGGTGAGTTCCAGTAATAAAACTTTTCTTTCAAGTTCTAAGTGGTAACTGAAAATAAGGTAATGAGTTGAACAGTCAAGAGTGGCACTAAAATTTGAACAGAACTATTACTTTATTGCAACTATATATGATTGCAACTATATTAAGATCTACTTAATTTCTTATGTTTTGAGAACTACTTGAAAAGTGCTAGGAAAGTTCACATAAAGCACTTAATAACAAATCAAACACCAGGTGAAAATCAAGGGTTTAATGCTTCCAAATTAATATATTAAGCTGTTTGCTTCAGATAGCTATCTGATTCTATCTTATAAGACATTCAACAAGAGGTTAAAATATTTGCATTTTGAAATTTTTATGCATTTTCACATTGTGTGGTTAAGGAGGAACTTGGAAAATAATATTAATTAGCTACTCCACTGCACTTTTTGTGTACGGACTTGTCTAAAATTATGCCTCTTAAACAGTTTACTTACATAAACCTAGCTAGTAAATGGTGGTGGTGTTCAGGGCCATTGGCTTGCACAGCCCTTGGGACACCACTCACATAGAACACAATTCTGAGTTTGTTAGACACTAACGCACTTTGATATATATTTCAAAAATTCAAATATTTTTCTTACCATAAGTTCACATGCTGCCATTTAGACATAATTAATGTACTGTGATCATTTTACTACTCTTCAGATGATGTTGCCTAACCTAGTGCTGTCATTTTCAGTGTGAGAAATTCAGTACTGATGACTGTGTGTGCAAGATGTTGATGTGGTCCCTGTAAGAAATACTCGAGTTGGTCTTGATTTACTAAGGAGATGTAATATTTTATTTTCCTTTCACTTGTTAGGAATACAATAACTTGTATCCTGATTTGTTGCACATCATATTTTTGCAACGTTAATGAATTTAAATAAATCAATTGGAAAATTTGTTTTTGAGTCATTTTATCACATTTTTCTATCTTCCATTATGCTATTAAATTTTTACACTGAGTTATCTTTTAAGCCTTTCAAGTAGTTTTAAACCTTTACTCTTGTTTCTCTTTCTATGGTGTGGATGCTGCTTCCTGTTCTTCAAGGGGGTGAAGAGTTCACCCAGCTTTAATTTTAAACATCTTAATTATAATCAAGCTTTGTATTTCATGGTTCAGAATTATTTTAGTAGTGGGGAATCCCATGATGAAATCAGTTCAATAAGTGGCTGAAAACATGGCATAAATGAGAACTTGTTTAGCTTATAGACCTGCTCAGAGGTTCCAGTTGGTAACACTTGTTTTTGCATTTATGCCTTAATCGCTGTTCAGCTGCTTAGTGGCAAACAGCTGTACCCGTTACTGCTGTCTTTAATCCACACTTAGGATACCGTTCGGGATTATGTAAACTCAAATATGTATTGAAGTATTTGTCTTGCATTACCCACAAATTTTAAATACAAATTCTCCCAAATTAAAATTCTTTATGAATCACCAACTAAAAGCTTGCTAGGCTAAAGGAATTGCAGCCCTGTTTTGAATGGTAAAGAAATACCTGCTATAATCTTTGCAGACTATATCTTCAATTTAGTATTGCAGGGTCTTCAATAGTATTACCCTGAACACACGTCAGGCTTAAAATGTGACTGCTCTATATTTTCTAATTGTGCATCTAACAGTGGAGAAGAGTAGTCTCTAAAAATTGTAATTCCCTTATGAACGATTTAGTAAACCCGGTGAATTACTTGAAAAGTAAGCCTTTCCACCCGTCTAGGGCTTGAAAGCTGCGGCCACATACCCCTCCTCTCTCCACGCCCCCGCCCTCCCCTTGCATGGTTTGAGTGGCGTGTGGGAGCGGGACCTCCCCGCCCCCTTGGGTAGTGTCACTTCCAGGTTCTGCGAGCACTTCCGGGTCGTCGGCCGAGCTCTGCGGTTTCTGCGGCGGCCGACGAGGTGGTGGGGGAAGTAGGTGTCTTCTGCTGTCTCCTGGCCGCTTCGGGGCGGGAAGCGCCTTACCCACAGGTACCGGGTGAGCCGGGCCCGCGCTCCCCGACGGGGGCTGGAGCCGCGGTCGGTTGGGTCTTCTCCGAGGGCTGCGTGGAGGGCGAGGGCCCTTCCCTGCTGGGGCCCGGGGTCGGCCCATTACGGATTTCGCTGCCGGGATGACCCTGCGGCCCGTACCTGGGAAAGGAAGGGAGTTGGCGGGAGGCTTGTTGTCCACGGGGCGCAGGCTGAACGGTCCAGCACCGTATTTTTAGCCCGGTAAATGTCTTAGAGCGTCCAGGGGGTTTGGAAGTTTTGGGGGTCCGAATATCGGGGGAGCGCATTCCTTGAGTGTCTCATTCTTGGGCTCCCTCCCTTGTTTGAAGTCTGCCTTCCAACTTCATGCGAACTCCGACAAGGGAATGAATTTAAACTGGATGGTTTGATCTAGAAGGACTAGGATTATTGAGTTACTTCCGAATGTGGAGCCTTCTAATTTAATTTTCTGAACTACAAGATGAAGGATACAGCTGATACAGCTAACGATTTGAGCATTTCTCAAGAAATTTTTTAAGAATCTAAGATCATTAAAGCAAGTAATTTTAACGAACGTTTAAATAACAGCTATTTTAAAATTATTTTTATTGAGGTATAATTGACATATAAAATGTTAGTTTCAGGTGTACAGCATAGTGATTCGATATTCGTATGCATTGCAAAATAATCACCACAATAAGTGTAGTTAACGTCCCTCAGACAAAATTTTTTTTTCTTGTGATGAGGACTTTTTTAAGATCTACTCTCTTAGCAACTTTAGAATGTACTATACAGTATTAACTACAGTCACCATGCAGTGCATTACATCCCCATAGCTTACTTATTTTATAACTGGAAGTTTGTAGCTTTTGACCCCCTTTACCCATCTCCACCCCAACCAACAATCCGTTCTCTGTATCTGTGAGCTTAGTGTTTCTGTTCGTTTTGTGTTTTAGATTCCACGTATAAGTGAGATCATATGGTAGTTGTCTTTCTCTGTCTGACTTATTTCACTTAGCAAAATGCCCTCAAGGTCCATTCATATTGCCACTAATAGTAAGATTTCATTCTTTTTTAATGGCCGAATAATATTCCATTGTATATATATACACCACAATTTTTTTATCCATTCATCCATCCATGGACACTTAGGTTGTTTCCATATGTTGGCTTTTGGAAATAATGCTGCAGTGAACATGGGGTACATATATCTTTTTGAATTAGTGTCTTAATCTTCAGATAAATACCCAGAAGTGGAATTATTGGCTCATATGGTGGTTCTATTTTTAGTTTTTTGAGGAACCTTCATACTGTTTTCCATAGTGGCAGCACCAGTTTACATTCCACCACAGTGCGCAAGGGTTCCCTTTGCTCCACATCCTTGCCAAAGCTTATTTCTTGTCTTTTAATAATAGCCATTCTACGGCCGGCCCCGTGGCTTAGCGGTTAAGTGCGCACGCTCGGCTCCTGGCAGCCCGGGATCGGCTCCTGGCGGCCCGGGTTCAGATCCCGGGTGCGCTCCGATGCACGGCTTCTCCGGCCATGCTGAGGCCGCGTCCCACATACAGCAACTAGAAGGATGTGCGGCTGTGACATAGAACTATCTACTGGGGCTTTGGGGAAAGAAAGAAATAAAATAAAAAATTTAAAAAAATAATAATAATAGCCATTCTAATAGGTGTGAGATGATATCTCATTATGGTTTTGATTTGCATTTCCCTGATGATTAGTGATGTTGAGCATCTTTTCATGTACCTGTTGGCTGTCTGTATGTCATCTTTGGAAAATGTCTTTTCAGATCCCTTGCCTGTTTTTTCATCAGGTTGCTTTTTGCTCTTGAGTTGTATAATTTCTTTATATATTTTGGAAATTAACCACTATCAGATATATGATTTGCAAATATTTTCTCCCATTCTGTAGGTTGCCTTTTCATTTTGTTTGATTTGTTTTTTATATGTAACTATTATTTATATATTATATCAATTTAAACCTCTTTACTGTATTTAGTTATATTCATTGTGCTCAACATTCAAGTTCACTTGTCTTATCAGCTCAATTTAATTTAATATTTAACTCATATATTGTGTTTTTTTAGCATATATAAACATATATGTATATATAAAGTCAATATTTTGAATATGGTTCAAAATTTCTGTCTGTTTTACATCAACTACATTTGTTTTTCTTTTTACCTCTTGACCCCATTTACCCATTTTGTGCCTCCAGCTTCCTGCCTCTGGCAACCACCATTCTGTTCTCTGTATCTATGAGCTTTTTTTTTTTTTTTTTAGATTCCACATATAAGAGAGATCATACGGTATTTGTCGTTCTCTGTCTGACTTATTTCACTTAGCATAATGCCCTCAAGATTCATCCATGTTGTCACAAATGGCAAGATTTCATTCTTTTTTAATGGCTGAATAATATTCCATTGTGTATATATACCACAGTTTCTTTATCCATTCATCAATCAATGGACACTTAGGTTGTTTCCATATCTTGGCTGTTGAAAATAATGCTGCAGTGAGCATGGGGGCGCATATATCTTTTTGAGTTAGTGTTTTTGTTTTCTTTAGATAAAAGCCCAGAAATGGAGTTGCTGGATCATGTGGTAGTTCTATTTTTAATTTTTTGAGGAACTTCCGTACTGTTTTCCATAGCAGCTGCACCAGTTTACATTCCTACCAATATTGTACAAGGGTTCCCTTTTCTCCACATGCTTGCCAGCACTTGTTGTTTCTTGTCTTTTTGATAATAGCCATTCTAACAGGTGTGAGGTGATATCTCATTGTGATTTTGATTTGCATTTCCCTGATGATTAGTGATGTTGAGCATCTTTCCATTTACCTGTTGGCCATCTCTATGTCTTCTTTGGAAAAATGTCTGTTCAGATCTTCTGTCCATTTTTTAATCGGGTTATTTGTTTTTTTGCTGTTGAGTTGTATGAGTTCTTTATATTTTTTGGATATTAAACCCTTATTAGATATATGATTTGCAGATATTTTCTTTTATTTTGTAGGTTGTCTCTTCATTTTGTTGATAGTTCCCTTTGCGGTGCAGAAGCTTTTTAGTGTGATGTAGTCCCACTTATTTATTTTTGGTTTTGTTGCTTTTGCTTTTGGTGTCAGATTCAAGAAATCATCACCAAGACCTATGTCAAAGAGTTTACCGCCTATGTTTTATTCTACGAGTTTTATGGTTTCTGGTCTTACATTCACATCTTAATCCATTTGAGTCAATTTTTGTGTATGGTGTAAGATAGTGGTCCGGTTTCATTCTTCTGCTTGTGGCTGTCCAGTTTTCCCATCACCATTTGTTGAAGAGACTGTCCTTTTCCCATTGTATATTCTTGGCTCCTTTGTTGTAAATTAATTGACCATATATGCTTAGGTTTATTTCTGGGCTCTTGATTCTGTTCCATTGATCTGTGTGTCTGTTTTTATGCTGACATCATACTGTTTTAATTACTGTAGGTTTGTAATATAGTTTGAAATCAGGGAGCATGATGCCTCCAGCTTTGTTCTTCTTTCTCAACATTCCTTTGGCTATTGGGGTTTTTGTGGTTCCATACCGATTTTAGGATTATTTGTTCTGTTTCTTTGAAAAATATCATTAGAATTTTGATAGGGATTGCATTGAATCCATAGATTGCTTTGGATAGTTTGGACATTTTAACAATATTTATTCTTCCAATCCATGAGCATGCAATATCTTTTCATTTGTTTCTGTCTTCTTCAATTTCTTTCATTAAGATCTTGTAGTTTTCAATATACAGGTCTTTCACCTCCTTGGTTAAATTTATTCCTAGGTATTTTATTCTTTTTGATGCAACTGTAAGTGGGATTGTCTTCTTTATTTCTCTTCCTAATAGTTTGTTATTAGAACTATTGTGTAGAAACACAACAGATTTTTGTGTATTGATTTTGTATCCTGCAACTTTACTGAGTTTATTAGTTCTAACAGTTTTTTGGTGGAGTCTTTAGGGTTTTTTTAATATATAATATCATGTCATCTACAAATAGTGACAATTTTACTTCTTCCTTTCCAGTTTGGATGCCTTTTATTTATTTTTCTTGCCTAATTGTTCTGGCTAGGACTTCCAGTAGTATGTTGAATAGAAGTGGCGAGAGTGGGCATCCTTCCTTGTCTTGTTCCTGATCTTAGAAGAAAGGCTTTCAACATTTCACCTTTGAGTATTGATGGTTAGCTGTGGGCTTGTCATATGTTGCCTTTATTATGTTGAGGTACTTTCCCTCTATACCCACTTTGTTGAGAGTTTTTATCATAAATGGATGTTTAATTTTGTCAAATGCTTTTTCTGTCCCTATTGAGATGATCATATGATTTTTATCCTTCATTTTGTTAATGTGGTATTATATCACATTGATTTTTTCTGTGTGGATGTTGAACTATCTTTGCATCCCTGGAATAAATCCCATCTGATAATAGTGTTATGATCCTTTTAATGTGTTGTTGAATTTGGTATGCTAGTATTTTGTTGAGGATTTTTGCATCTATGTTCATCAGTGATATTGGCCTGTCATTTTTTTTTCCTTGTGGCATCCTTGTCTGGTTTTGGAATCAGGGTAATGCTGGTCTCATAAAATGAGTTTGGAAGAGTTTCCTCCTCTTCTATTTTTTGGAAGCATTTGAGAAGGATTGGTATTAATTCTTTGAATGTTTGGTAGAATTCACCAGTGAAGCTGTCTGGCCCTGGACTTTTGTTTGTTGAAAGGTTTTTGATTACTGATTCCATTTCCTTCCTAGTAATCAGTTCTGTTTAGATTTTCTATTTCATCATGATACAGTCTTGGTAAGTTGTATGTTTCTAGAAATTTATTCATCGTTTCTAGTTTTTCTAATTTGTTGGCATATAATTGTTCATAGTAGTCTCTTATGATCTTTTGTATTTCTGTGGTATCAGTTGTAACATATTCTCTTTCATTTCTGATTTTATTTGAGTCCTCCCTCTTTTTTTCCTGGTGAGTCTAACTAATAAGCCT